CGTTGATGCGAGCAACGAGTTGCTCAACGATGGCGGCGCTGACGGAGGTCACCGCTGATGGCGCATTAGTCGTTGTTGGTGGTGGGCCCGGAGAGTCTGCAGTAGCTTTTCTTTCAGGAGCCATAGTGATGCAGACTTGTAACAGGTATTCTTATGGATAAGTTTATAAAGAGTTGTTATAGGAAGAACAGGAACTTCGCAGGTCTTATGATCCACTCTAGCTCTCATACCATGTTGATATAACCGGGAATCGTAGTGGATAGGATAAGTCTAGCCAAGTTGTGAGATGACAATGAAGTCTTGTAATGACCTTGTTAACAATAGTTGAAAGAGAACAATATGATTTAATATAGAAGTACAAGGATATAAATAGCAATCCGAGCTAGCCATGTACTCTGAGGGGTACATTCCCTTATTAACTGTATTGCATTGTTACAGTAACTGTGACTATTTCTCTACTCGACAGTTACCAAGTTACATCGTGTAACCTCCGAGTACGGTTACTGGGCGGTCAACAGTCGCGACCGTTGACTTCCTGCGACTGTTGACCTTCGAGTGGCTTTCAGGCTGCCGCGTGCTCTATATGGGCTTAACGCGATACTGGTACATGAGCGCTTTCTCGCTATGAAGCGATGCTCTAAGGGAAGCCTTCAGGAATGTTTTAATAACCATCGGACCCCTCTGGCCCGGCTGAGGGGGGCTGACCCTGCTGCTGACGACACAGCGGCCTCTCGTCGCCCACCGCACTTGGAGACTCCTCCTGGTTTTCCACCTCGACCGTCTTCGCCGCCTCTGCAGCGTGTCGCTGTGGACTCTGGTGCTGTTGGGGGTGGTGACGTTGGAGGTGCGGGCTCTGGGGCTGCTGTTTCTGGGGGTGCTGACCCTAGAGGTGCTGTCTCAGGGGGTGTTGAGCGTCCTAGTGGTGGTGGAGTTCAGGGTACTACTGCTGGAGGTTCTGCGGGTGCGTTGCAGCCTCTGCCGCGGCACCCCTTGTTCTAGGAGCAGCAGCAGTCGTCGCTGCCACTTCCTGGGTCCGTTTCTGGAGGTCCTGGTGCTGGAGGTGCTGGAGCTGGAGGTACTGGAGGTGCTGGAGCTCGAGGTGCTGGAGGTTCTGGTGCTGGAGGTACTGGAGCTGGAGGTACTGGAGGTTCAGGTGCTGGAGGTGCTGGAGCTGGAGGTGCAGGAGCTGGAGGTGCTGGAGGTTTTGGTACTGGAGGTACTGGAGCTGGAGGTACTGGAGGTTCAGGTGCTGGAGGTGCTGGAGCTGGAGGTGCTGGAGGTTCTGGTGCTGGAGGTGCTAGAGCTGGAGGTGCTGGAGGTTCTTGCGCTGGAGGTGGTCCTGATGCTATTACTGGAGGAGATGGTTCTGGGGGTGCAATGCAACCACTGCAGCGACAACCGTTTTTCTGGGAGCAGCCGGAGTTGTCGCCGCCACCACCAGGCTCGGCGCTTCACCGGCTTCTCCGTCTTACTTCTGCCTCTGAAGAGTCGTCTGCCGCTGGTACTACTCCCCCTCTACTGTTTCCGCCTTCTGACCAGTCTCAGCCACAGTTACCGCCTGACTCCCCACCGCCTCTTCCTTTTCGTTACACTCCGTTGACAGACTCCCTGACTGAGCGTCGAGAGTCTGCGTCTTGTCCTGCCTCACTTGTTGCTCGTACTCCTCGTGCTCGCCATGTTCGCCCTCCACCTGTCCCCGGCACTCATACCATGACACTTCGTCCTTCCTCTATTCCACAGCGTGCTGTCTTGCCGTTACCTCCCTCGTCCTCCCTTCCTGACGTTCCTGACCCTTTGTCTGGCCTTGCTCGTGCTGCCAGTCCGACTGTCAATCTTTGTCTCGCCACTGTGACTGACCTACCTTTTCGTCTGCTGCTACGTCTGACTTAGTCACTAAGCTCATTCACTTTGTTGCTACAAGCCGCCTTGACTACCTCGCGAGTCTTGTTTGTGACTCTGCATGTCCTGCGTCCGTCGGGGGTGAGCTCGCCCTTGGCCGTGACGTCCTTGAGGACAGGCAGTTCAAGCTGGAGTACCTCACGGCTGCTTTTTCCCATCTCGCTGCCATGTTGCTTGTCCTTGAGGGAGACCCGGATGCACTGGACATCCCAACCCCGCGCTCTTACGCAAAGGTGATCACGGGGCAGTATTCCTCTCAGTGGAAGTCAGCCATGGACGCAGAGATGGCTTCCTGGAAGTCCACTGGCACCTGCGTCGACGCAATTCCCCCTCCTAGGGCGAACATAGTCGATGGCATGTGGATTCTTAGGGTGAATCAGCCGCCAGGTTCCCCGCTTGCCTTCAAGGCGCATTCCGTTGCCAGGGCTTCAGTCAGCGTCAGGGGGTCGACTTCTTCCATACCATTTCCCCCGCCTCGAAGATGACCACTCTTCGGGTTTTACTTCCCGTTGCAGCACAGCGTGACTACGAGCTGCACTCCCTCGACTTCTCGACAGATTTCTTGCAGGGCAGCCTCCACGAGGAGATATGGTTGCGCCGCCCACTTGGCTTCACTGGGTCGTTTCCTAAGGGTACCCAGTGGAGCCTCCGACGGCCTGTCTACGGTCTCCGTCAGGCGCCTCACGATTGGCACGACACACTAAGGACTACACTTGTGGCTCTTGGCTTCGCTCCTTCGACTGCTGACCCGTCGCTGTTTCTGCGAGCCGACTCTACCCTGCCACTGTTCTACATCATCGTGTACGTCGACGCAGACGCGGACGCGGTCGCGACGACTTGGTGTTTGCTACTGCTGACAGTGAGGCACTGGTTCTTGTGAAGGCGGAACTGCAGAAGAGACACACTTGCATTGACCTCGGTGAGCTGCGTAGCTATCTTGGCTTGCAGATCACGAGGGACAAAACAGCGCGCACCATCACTCTGACTGTCACACATGGTGCAGCAGGTCCTTCAGCGCTTCCGCTTTCAGTTCTCCTCGCCATAGGCCACTCCTTTGCCTACGGGTCACTCGCTCTCAGCTCCACCTTCGGACGAGTCCGTATAGCCGAGTGGTTCGTATCCAGAGCTTGTGGGTTGCCTCATGTACCTAATGACGTGCACTCGCCCTGACCTCGCGTACCCTCTCAGCATCCTGGCGCGCTACGTTGCGCCCGAAAGACACCGCCCTGAGCACTGGCGGGCTGCTACGAGGGTACTGCGCTACTTGTGCAGTACATCAGGTATGGGGCTTGTGCTTAGAGGACGGGGTCGAGTTGTGCTCACAGGGCACTCAGACGCTTCATGGGCTGACGACCAGGCGACTTCTCGGTCTTCACAGGGCTACTCTTTCAGTCTCGGCACTGGCTCTGTCTCGTGGAGGTCCACACGCTCGTCTTCTGTACTTTGCTCAAGCTGTGAGGCCGAGATCTACGTTGGGGCTATGGCTGCGCAGGAGTTACGCTGGCTGGCCTACTTGCTGACCGACTTGGGTGAGCGGCATCGTTCTCCTCCAATTCTGTACGTCGATAAGAAGGCCATGATTGCCTTGTGTCGGGAGCAGAGACTGGAGCACAAAACGAAGCACATTGCCCTTCGTTACTTTTTCGTGCGAGAGCTGCAGCAGCGTGGTCAACTTTGCCTTGGTTACGTGGCCTCACAGGCCAACAGTGCTGATGTCTTCACCAAGGCCCTAGGGTCTGGTGATCATCAGCGTTTCTGCACTTCTCTTGGCCTTGTGCCTACTCTGCCTCATGTGCTTACCTCTTGACCCTGCCTTGTACTTTGATAAATATATACCTGCATGTTACTCTTGCTAGGTTGTGATTGCTACTGCTTGTGCTATTATAACACTGCATGTGAACTGGCCTTGTAGCCTCTTGCCTTTGCTCGGATTGTGTGGTGATCTTGATATCCACCCTGAGCTTTGCTTTGCTTTCTCTCTTGACTGGTCTTGTGACCTCTTTGCCTTGCTCGTTGTTTCTTGTTGTCCCCCACTTAGCCTATGGGGGTGTGTCGAATGTTATAATTCTGTTCTAGGCTATAGTGGGGTACTCACTCACTAGAGAGTACAACCTTGTTAGGGTTGCATACTTTTACCCCAAATCATTCGAGCCAATCCGTTCCTGTTTCATTCTCGACACTCCTGACTTTGGTCTTTCCTTTTTTTGTTACAAATTACAGCATATTCAGTGTACTATCATGCTTTGCTAATACTTTGCAAAATGGAACTCTCATTACCATTCCAGTTGCACAAGTATGATCACACACACGTATACACAAAGAGCAATACCTCGCTGCCATATTTCCCACTTATCATATCTACTTGGCAATCTGAATTTCAACTAACAACTGTACTGTATGAGTAACGGGTTCTTTCTTCATGGCTACTAACGTATGCGACCTCTCACCTGCGCTCCTCGCCGAGTGCTGCAATTATTGGGGAGGACTTGGTGTCTCAGAATCTGAAATCCCTGATAATTGTCGATTCTTATCAACAAAGCCAGAAATGGCGAATCGCGTCGCCATCTGCTTGCGTGGTTTTCAGCTCTTCGCAATTATACGAGGCGAGCACGACGCACCTCCGAATCGACATTTCGCCTCGCGCTGCAGCTTCAAGCGACTCGCACGCGTCACTCCTGCTCACCGCCTCACCCGCAAGCCACGGTTTTTTTCCCATTCGTTATCCAAGCTCTCAACATGACTATAAAGTCGGACGTTCGAGTCCCTAGAAATTCATCCAGCGACAATCCGCCCTTCACTCTTCAAGCAACCCATTCTTCCTCTCTTTTTGAGTTTGTTAACTCTCTTTCGAATCATGGCCTTCACTTTCGCTCGCCGCGTCTTATTCTTAGGTAAGCGTTACAAGTGCTACCAGTAGTATCCCTTGGAAGTGTCAATCCGCCGGTTTCGTTGCTTGCTGGCTACGTCCCGACCCGTGCAATGCGGTTATGTTGATGACAAACGTCTGCTGCGATGGCGTACAATCACTTTGATGAGCGCGTTTTCGCTGCATGGTAACCTGATCGTCTGTGTTTCCATCGCATGTGTCTTCGTGCTTGCAGCGTTCTTCGCAGTGCTGGTGGCCGTTGCCTACGCAGACCACAATGATCACAGTCAACCGAAAAAAACTGGTCAGTGCTTCGCGCTTCCCCATTCCGCCCGTCGCTCTACCCTCTCCTTGACACTTTCTCGTCACCCTTTATCCCCTTTTCGCTCAGCATGGTCTCCCTTTCGAATCCCTGTTCCCCAATTTTCAACTTACACTCTCTCTCACACTACGACAGACACCTTCACGGCGAAGCTGATTGGCGCCAACGAGGTTCCCAAGGGTAACTCCGCTGCTGCCAGGAACGCCGTTAATGACAAAAGCGGCACGGGGCAGATGAAGTTGGAATTCTACAAGTAAGACTCTCAGGATTTACATCTGTGAAAGAACATCTTTGATGTTCGCATCAGCTCCTCAGGCATTACATCTGTGACAACGTGGGATGATGCGTACATTCCTCTTTTGAAGTACCTGTTTCAAGAATATGAATCTCTGTCCTTCTTTCCTGCGATGCACAGCAGCAGATATCAAATCCTCGTTTCTTTCCTTTTTTCCCAACACCCCTGGTGCCTCGTGTGATCAGGAAGGACGATAAGCTGGTGTGGGTGAAGTTCTCAGTGAAGGCATCGAAGCTGGAGGGCGAGATGCCGCCCACCAAGACGCACATCCACGTGGGCGTCAAGGGGCAGAACCACCACGCGCTGCTCGACCTGCCGTGCAAGTACGAGAAGAAGAGCAACAATGACTGGCGCTGCGAGGGCGTGATTGGGCAGGAGCAGAAACTCTCGCATTCGCAGGTGGAGGATTTCATGAAGATCGCACATCAGCCGAGTGGGTTCTACGGGAATATCCACACCAAGAAGTACCCTGATGGTGCCGTGCGTGGCCAGTTCTCCAGGAAGTAACGGGTCCAAGTTGAGCCGGAGAATAAAGAATGAGGAGTTACAAGTGAACATGCGGTGAATAAGGATCCTGGGGGACATCAGAGAACGGAGTGAAGGTGAAGCAAGACCTTGCTCCCCTAGGTAGTGTTGAAGGTGGCCCCAATGATCAGAATAAGCAGGCGTTGTGCTTTGCTTTGTTTGAAAGACACTGCTCTTCTAGAGAGAGTGTTTAGCTTTGCTAATGGAAATGGAATCCACTCTGTGTGCTCACACACACTGCCTTGCTCAAGAAAAAAACATTGTTGTGCCCCTCTTCGCTGCTGCGGAACCATCTTGCCACAATGAGTTGTATAATGCCTCAGATTCTTCATCAAGCTACTGCCGTCAACATTGCTCATCAACTGCGGAACCATCGTGCCACCATCAAGACACCCCCTGTCTTCAATTCGACACTGTCTTATATCCGGGCGATGACGGTAGTATTACGCTGCATTCATTTGCCATATGAATAAAGGAATGGTTTCGCACACTGCCGGATGTTTGTAGATGTGAGCTGAAGTCTGGTTTCATTTACCGTTGCTGCCTTAGAATCTCCCAAACGTTGCCCCACGCCCAAACACAACCGCTGTCCACACCAGTTCCAAATCCGTCTTCTCTCCACCATCTGCTTCCCCACCTGCCCTCACTCCTGCTCCCCCTCCTCCTCCCCCTCGCCTGCATCCTCCCTCACCACCAGCACATCCCCCTCTACACCTTCCTCCCCACTCACCCTACCACCGTCGCCCAAGCTTGGACCCAGTCTTCCTCCCATGCCCCCCTCCCCTCCCCAATGCACATGCCTTGCTGACGGCCCTCCTCCCTCTTCACCTGCCTTCTCCTGTCCCCGCATCCCTTCCCCCTTCACACCCTTCCCTCCCTTGCGCTCTGAACCGCCTCCACCACCTGCTTCCCTTGCTCCTACAGCACCACCAGCCCTCCCACTGGCCACAACACCAGAAGCCTCCCTGCTTGCAGCACCCCCAACCCCACCACCACCAGCAGCAGCAGCAGGCAGCAGGGCAAGGTTCCGTTGGGAGCGGGCGGCAGCAGCCAGGGCAGCCGCGGCAGCCTGGGCTCGCAGGCTCTCCAGCACCAGCCTCACCGCCTTCCTCCACCTCTCCCTCGGAGACACCCTCCCTGCCCACCTCCTCTGCCCCTCCCTCGCCCCTCGCCTCTCCCCCCGCTCCCCTTCCCCTCGCTCCCTCCCCATCCCTCCCTCCTCCCCGTCCACTCTCCCCTCCACACCACTCCCCACCCCATCCACCCCTGCCCCGTGCCCATCCACCCATTCACGCTCCGAGTCAGGCTGCTGGTACAAGTGCCGTACAGAGTCCATAGCAGCCAGCATAGACGCCAGATTCACCCTCTCAGTCGCCTCTGCCTGCTGCTGCACCGTATCCCCCATGGCCAGTGCGTCTGGGTCGAGAGCCGCCAGGATGCGCGCGGCACGGTCACGGGCGGCTTGGGTGGCTTCCGGGGTGAGGGAGGCGACGGAGGGGCGGGAGGAGAAGGAGGAGAAGCGGCGGGAGAGGCGGAAGGAGGGCAGGCCGAAGTGGCCCCACGTGGTGACGCTGGCGTGCACTGGCTTGGCGTCTATCAGATGCGCCCGGGTTATCAGCCCCGCCTGCAAGCGTGGGGAGGGTGGAGGGGCAAAGGTGTGTGTGTGAGTGCGTGCGTGCGTGCGCGTGTGCTCATGCAACTTGCAGAGACTGTATTTGTATGGCATGGGATGGCTTGGGATAGCTTGAAGAGTATGGAGTAGCATAGGATAGCATGGGCTGACGGGGTTGGCATGGGATGGCTTGGAAAGGGATGGGATGGCATAGGTGGGCATGGGATGAGGTGGGATGGCATAGATGGCATGGATGGCACAGTGCATGGCACGGCGCGGTATGGCATGGCACGGCATGGCATGAAATGGTTTGGTGCATGGCGTCTCACCGGCTGGCCTGTGCCGTCCACCACACACACGTACGTCAGGTTGAGCTGCGAGCAGGGGTGGGGAGAGAGGAAGTGGGCGGGTGAGGAAGGGAAGGTGAACTGTGGCGCCAGCACATTGCAATGTGGCAACCATGGAGACTCGCACGATCTTGACAGGTGTCTCACTTAATAGAAGCCCGAATTACCAGCGGTCCGAATGAACAGGCATGTGACCCAACTCTATGACACAGCACAGCACGGCAGTTCCCTCACATGTGAAAGGGCGCAGAACGTGTGCAAGTCACCTCACAGCCCGTGCATCTCACCTTGCGCATGTGGGTGGGTCACTCGCATGAGATACGGCCTGGCACATGTGGGTGGGTCACCTGATGGCACGTGCAACTTACCTTGAGGCCCATGCATCTCACCTTGCGCATGAGGGGGAAGACGCGGAGGATGGGCATGCAGAGGGGCACATGGAAGGGGAAAGGGTCCATGATTGCCGTCACATCTAATAGCACCTCCGCCTCGCCCCCTCCCACCACCGCTCCCACCGCTCCCCTGCTGCTCTCCGCGCCCCCCACCCCCCTCGCCTCTCCTTCTGCCTTCTCTCCAACTTCTCGCGTCTCTCCCCCCCCTCCTTCCACCTCGCCATCCTTTCCTCCGCCCTCTGCAAGCTGCTGCTGCTGGAAGGGCGTTACTCCATTTGTGGCAGTGCCACAAGCTTCAGAGGCTGCATCTGAGGCAGCAGCAGCGGATAAGGCAGCTTCCGGGGCAGCAGCAGGTGCAAATGGAGGAGGAATGGCGGCAAGAGCAGGAGGGCGGGGGGGAAGAGGGCTGTGACTGCCCGTGCTACCGAGCTGCCAGCTACTGCCATCTGCACTGCCTGTGGGCCGTCCTGCTCGCCCATACGCATGCCCATGCCCATGTCCGTGCCCATGCCCATACCTGTGCCCATATTCAGGCCCATGAACATGCCCCATGCCATGCCCATGCCCACGATACACATCAGTACTGAACGCGTGCTCCATCTTCCCCACTCCGCCTTGTTGTGAAGATCCAGCAGCTGAGCCAGCAGCAGCACCCCCAACAGCACCGCCACCAGCAGTGCCAGCGACAGCAGGAGCACTGTGCAGGGACGGCGCTGCCGCCCAGAGCGCGTCTTCTGCCGCCCACTGCTGGTCCGCCAGCCTGGCGTTGGTCTCCATGGCCAGGAGAGTGCGGTCCAACAGGCACTCCTCCCCCTCCCTCCGCACCATCTCCCTCATCCGCCTCTCCTCTCCCGTCTCGCTGTCGTCGTGGCACGTCAGAAGCTTCTGAGCAAGTTCCTCTGTGTACCGGTGGCCTCTTCGTCTCTCTCTCCTCACACGCCGCTGGGCCTCTGTTTCCCACTCGTGGCTCTCACCTTCTTCCTCCTCCTCCTCCTCCTCCTCTTCCTCCCGCTCTTCCCCATCCTCCTCCTCGTCCTTCCCTTCTCCTTTCGCTTCCTCCATTCCGTCTGCCCTCCTCCCCTCCTCCATCCTCGCATCACCCCCCTCCTCCGTTCCAACTCTCGCTTTCCTCGTCCACGGAACCCGCTTCATTACACCACTAAACCGCAACCCTGCCATCCGTCCCAGTCGTGCCAGACTGCCCCCACCACCACCCGCAGCACCAGTAGGACCAGCAGGGCCTGCAGCAGCAGCAGCCGCACAAGGCGAACCACGTCTGTCACCAACGCCGGCACCACCATCGCTGCCACCACCACCAGCAGCAGCACCAGAAGCAGCCGCACCAGCAGCGGTGGCGGCAGCGGCAGCAGCAGCAGCAGCATCACACGTCTGGTTATGAGCAGCGAGCAGCGCAAGCAGCCTGGTCCGACTGACCACCCCTTTCAGCCCGCCCTCCGCATCCACCACCATCAGCGCCGGCGAGAAGCAGCTGATCAACGCCGCCCGCACGAGCGACGGCGTCTCCATCTCCCGCAGCTGTGCCACGTGGCGGTCCATGAGGTGCCGGGCTAGCAGCCCCTGGTGGCGCGCGTGGGGCTTGTCCTGCAGAAAGGGGATCTTCTTGATCGAAAGTAGCACCTCGTCGTAGCTGCGGCCGAACAGCTGTGCGACTGCCTTGGCCACCCCTATGCTGCGAGAGAGGGGGCGGCAGGAGGAGAGGAGCAGAGGAGAGGGGCGTGAGTAGTAGGCTTGTCGTGCAGGAAGGGGGTCTTCTTGATCGACAGTAGCACCTCGTCGTAGCTGCGCCCCAGCAGTTGTGCCACTGCGTTGGCCACCCCTATGCTGCAACCGTGGGAGGGGGCGATAGGAGGAGAAAGGGTTGGAAGAGTGTGAAGGGATCTTCTTGATTGACAGCACCACCTCGTCGTAGCTGCGGCCTAAGAGCTGCGCCACTGCCTTGGCCACCCCTATGCTGGAGAAAGGGGGCGGCAGAAGGAGATAGGGTTGCGAGACTGTGAGGGGATCTTCTTGATCGACAGCAGCACTTCGTCGTAACTGCGTCCCAGCAACTGCGCGACTGCCTTGGCCACCCCTATGCTGCGCGGAGGAAAAGAGGAGAGATGGGGAGGAGAGACAGAGATGAGGGAATGGAGAAGCGATGTGGCACGTGCGGCTTGTCCTAACAGCTGTGCTACTGCCTTGGCCGCTGCTATGCTTCGATGGTCTGAGGGATGGTGTGGAGAAGGAATGTGGAGAAGGAGAATGTGGAGAAGGAATGTGGAGAAGAAAGAGAATGTGGAATGGGATGGGGAGCGAGATCCAGATAGGCATGTGGCGATTGGGATCGTCTATAGGGATGGGGAGGGATATTTACGTGTACGGGAGGGTTGTCTGGAGGGACGATTTTGTGGCATACAATGTGAATGCGCCATGCAACGGACGTGCGCCAGTGTGGATACCGGGCATGGGTAGTGATGGGTGCACGTACCCACAGAGGATGGGAAGCAGAAGGCTGATGTCTCCTGATGCCTCCATTAGCATCACCTGCACACCGACACACGCATGCACACCGACACACGCATGCACACGTTCACACGCACGCACACACACAAGCACGCGGGCGCACTCACACATATGCAACAGAGCAAGAACAGTTACTGCATGGAGCAGAGAGATGGCAGCACAACACCCACGCCAGAGCACTTCGGGCACAGCACTCACAGCAAGATGGTACGGAGCATACACCGCCCAGGCACATAGCGGACCCCACATGCGCATCAATGGTATCTAAAGTCTCTCCAAAACCGCCCGCAGCACTCACAGCAAGCGAGATGGTGAGGTGAGTGTACCCCGCGAGGCACGCAGCAGACCCCACGTGCGCATAGATGCTGGGCTGCGCAAACTGCTCTGGCAGCGCGGCATGCAGCGCCATGCCGTACAGCCGCCCCAGCGCCGCCCGGTACAGCAGCTGCGGGATGAACTGCCCGCTGGGCACCGCCAGGCCTGAAATCGACGCTGCAAGAAGCGAGTAGGCGATGAGGAACACGGCCACCACGCCTGCTGGGAAGACCCGTGCGGTGACGGCCTCCCCGGTGGCGGTGGTGCTGGCCGTGTCGCCCATGAGGTGCTTCACGGCGCCCTCCTCCCCGCGCAGCAGCAGTGTGGCGAGCTCGTTGTAGTGCCCTGCAGGGCAGTCGTACTGCACCAACACCACGTGCCCCTCTGCTCCCTCTCCGTGCCCCTCCGTTTCTCCACTGTGTCCCCCTGCCTCCGTGCTGGCACTTGCTGCTGCTGCTGCTGCTGCTGCTGCTGGTGTCTCTGGTGCTGCTGTTTCTGCTGGTGCTTCTGGTGCTGCTGGTGGCGCTGTTGCTTCAACTGTGCTGCCTGTGCTGCCTGCCGCTGCTGCTGATGCGCGTGCTGCTTTGACCCGAGGGACCAACACTCCTAGTGATGCCGATGTTCTCGGTTTCACCGGTGCGGCAGATGTGCTTGGTGACTCAGCAACATACCACGTGGGAGAAAATGACACGTGTGCAGTGGACGTGGGACTGGAGTGAGACGCAGGGGGAGCAGCAGGCGCGGAGGCGCTGGAAGCAGGGAGGGAGATGCAGGGCGACATGGCGGGGAGGAGGTGGAACAGCAGCGACACCACCAGCGCACTCACAGCCGCATCTATGATCTTCACAGCTTTGCGCCGCCTCCACGTCTCAGTGCGTCTCGCCCGCAGCACCTTGAGTGAGAGAACAGTGTAAAGGCGACTGAGCAGCCCTCCTAGAACGCCTAGCACGAGGAATGGTCCTACGTCCTTGGCTGTCCACGAAATGGTTACTGGGTTTAGGACGAATAAAAGGAAGGCTTCGTATGTGATTATACCGGCCATGGCCTCGACGAGGAGGACTAAAACGAGTGTGCTTATAGTGGCGGAAACGAATGATTTGAAAGTGGCTTCGGTGGACCAGAAGGAGGAAACTTCCTCGAACATGAACAGCACTCCGCCTATTGGCGCTTTGAACGCCGCTGCGACGCCCGCCGCGCCGCCGTACGTCACGAACGCGCGCTGCTCGTCGCGGTCCTGCCACGCCACCGCCGCGCCACCGTGATGTCCCCCCCTGCCGCTGCTTGGGCTGGACTTTCCCCCGCGCGCGTTGCCTGTTTCTCTCCGCGGCTTACTATCCGCACGCTTCTTTCCGCGCGCGCTCGCGTGCGCATGCAGGCCGATCAGCGGGAGGTGCACGAGCGCAACGGCGACCCCCGCGCCGATGTGCGCCATGGGCCCCTCGCGGCCCACGGGCATGCCCGCCGCCACGACGAGCAGCAGCCCCAGGATCTTGACGACCGTTGTACGCAGCTCGAAGAACCCCGGAATGCTGTTCCCGTTAAGGAATCCCTTTATCTCGGGGACGCCGTTCGCGAGCGGCGCGACGTTGACCGTTAGAACGGCCGCCAGGCCGACGAGCGCGGCTTGGACGAGCGCCATGAGGAGCGACGCGACGAACACGCGGGAGAAGGGAACGCGCGCCGTGGCGTGCGCGCCTAGGAGCGTGTCGTTGAGAGTGTAGAGCAGGTCGAAGAACTCGACGATGGCGGTGGCGAGCAGCCATGAGAGCGCGCCGATGGTGAGTCCCGCGAGCAGCACCAGCCCCCACAGGCGCAGGGATCGCACCCGCGCCGCGGACTTCTCGTCGCGAAGCTTCGTGTCTGCTTCGCCGCCTATCAGTCTAGCTTCCGCGGGCGCGAGCGCATCCGTGGAGGAGTCTCCGCCGGATGCTCTTTCGCCGCTGCCGCGTCTGCGCCACAAGGGACCTCGAAACCTCACCGCCATGTCCCGGAACGCGTGGGACGTGCTATTGAACGATACGCATCGTAAGGACCTCATTACTGACATTACGGAGGTGTCCTGCTGCCATTGTCGCAAGATCGTCGCACAGTTGTCCCAAAGTTCTGAAAATAAAACTGTTGGGCGTTGGGAGTGCTCCAAGACCTGTACGTATATTCCTGCATGTCCCTGCTTGTTTGGTCTGCTAAATCCAGATGCAGGGAGCAAGCAGCGAGTTCACACCACAAGGTCCCAGAGACTGCATGGGCGACGGGGAACTCCCTGGTGCTCCTAGAGACTGCCGTGCTTTGTGTTCGGCTGCTCCTGACTTCCGCCGCGGAAATTCCCATGGCGGCTGACGGAAAGCCCGATGTTGCTCAAATAAACCAGAGATTCCTATCTCCAGGGCTGGGTGTGTCAGATGGTTTGCTGGTCAAGTCAACGGATGGGGTCCGCTGTTCGGCCGCAGTTCGCAACAAATGAAGAGAACCGTCAGATCTACGCGAACCGCTGCGTTTCGCGAACTGTCCAACTCCCTGACAACTAGCTGTTACAGATATGTTTCATTATCTCGGAGTATACTATCCATGTCCCCTTCATTGCTCATGTCCTGCTATTAGCTCATCACACCATGATTATGGCCCTTAAAGTTGGACACGGTTTAGTGACTCGGTCTCTAATCTTCGGATGCTCGAAACATGAGGCGAAATTGTGCATTTATTGACAGCAAAATGCACTGCCACCAACAAAGGCAGCACCTTATTGAAAGGCCGTCAAGGGGCAAGCAATACAGCACAAGCGACTGCCAGCAGCAGACGCACCAACACAGCTACGACCCCTATACGACCCATAGACGAGGCAGCACTGTATGGAAGCACAAGCGGCGCCCTGCCACTTGCACCGGACCCACCATCCATCAAGTTCAATGTGCCTCCATTGCCGTTTGGGTCATTACCTGACAAACCGTTTGCAGCAGGATTTAAAGAGGGGTTTACCCCGTTCGAACCCCCACTTTGTGCTGGGTCTTGTGAAGGAAGATTGGTGCCTGGGATATTCAGGCTCGGCAACGGACCTCCTTGGTTCGGGTTGGCACTCCCAGCCAGCCCAGGAATGAGGGAGGCGAGCCAATCAGAGCTCTCCGGAAAGGCCTCTGTAGCAGCTGCTGCTGTGTCTGCTGCGGCAGCAGCAGCGTCAATGGGGTCTGTGGTCTGTGCTGCCGAGTGCAGTATCTGGGAGCCTGCAGCATGACAGGTGATAAGGGAGGGGGGAATAGGTGTACATGCATGAGTTTTGAGACGCCTAAAAGGTCTAGGCTGCCGAGTGCAGTATCTGGGAGCCTGCAGCATGACAGGTGATAAGGGAGGGGGGAATAGGTGTACATGCATGAGTTTTGAGACGCCTAAAAGGTCTAGGCTGCCGAGTGCAGTATCTGGGAGCCTGCAGCATGACAGGTGATAAGGGAGGGGGGAATAGGTGTACATGCATGAGTTTTGAGACGCCTAAAAGGTCTAGGCTGCCGAGTGCAGTATCTGGGAGCCTGCAGCATGGAAGGGGACCGGGGCGTACATGCATGAGATGGGTTGAGGCGGACGCAATGGGCATAGATATGCACAAGGTGATGGTCCATTGAATGGCTGACGGCACAGTGCTTGGCTTGGACAATGCGGTTGGGGGAACGAGGCGTGCTGCACAGAGGGGTATGATGTGAGGGTGGTGCAGAGAGATTCGAAACAGGGTCCCATAACCCAAACCTTCAAGAGGGTGTGCGGACACAGCTTGATCCCATTATGCGAGACGTGTCAGAGAGGGCAGGAGGTCAAAGGTGAGGCGCTTCAAATCAACGGGTGAGGTGCATGGTGTGAGGCGCAGTGAGATTAAGTGGTGAGGCGGGGCGGGAGCGGAGAGCTCACACTGGGAGGGCAGCCAGCGCACGGTGTTGGCGTCCACGTCAAACTCCACCAGCAGATTGCGCAGCGCCAGGTCTGAGAGGGGGAGGAGGGGGTGGGGGGGGGGGGAGGCGGGGGGGCACAGAGGGGATATGGATTAGGGCGAATGCTGGTGAGAGAGGGACAGGGTGAACACAGACATCCCAGCCACAATCCGGGCAGCCAGCGCACGGTGTTGGCGTCCACGTCAAACTCCACCAGCAGATTGCGCAGCGCCAGGTCTGGACGAGTTCCATCCATTCCCTCCACTCAATCTTCTGCTCCCCTCCCCTCATCTCCCACCTCCCCTGTCATCCCCCACCCCTCACATCACCCCCCACTCCACCCACCCTCGCCTCTCAATTCCCCTACCACCTCCCACCTCCTCTTCCACCCTTTTTCTCCTCTCCTCCCACCCCAGCTCTCCTCCCACCCTCCTCTTTTCCTCTCTCCCCTCCCTGCTTCCCCTCGAACCCCCCACCCACCCCTCCCTTCTTTCCACTCACCGCCCAGCACAGCAAGGGAGGAGTCAGGGCCAGCGCTCTGCCACGCAATGCACGGCACCTCAAAGCCCTGGGGGGGGGGGGGGGGGGGGGGGGATGGGCGGACGATAACGAAACGGGTAAAAGGGCGGGTGGAAGAGGATGTGTGGACGGAGGAGAATGGGTGGGCGGAAGGGAATGGGTGGGCGGAAGGGAATGGGCGAATGCGTACAGCAGTGGTGGCGAGCAGCAGGATGTAGTTCTCGGGCGGCAGCACCATGCGAGCCCCGGTGCCGAACGTGAGAGTCAGGTCCGGGAAGAGGTAGCGCGCGCGGGGCCAGGGGAGCCTGCGGGTGGGGGGGGGGGGGGGATTGGAAAAGGGGAGGACGGGGGAGGGGGGAAAGACAGGGGGGAAGGAGAGAGGGTGAGAGAAATCAGGGAGAGAGGAGTCAGCAGGGAGGGAAGGGATGGCAGGGAGGGAGGCGCGGAACGATGAGCGAGAGTACCGCGGATGGTGCGTGGCAAGAGCGAGAGAAGATGATAACGTTGGAGACATGGAAGGATTGGGGGGTTGAGAGCGCGAAAGGGCTGGGGAGGTTGTAGCGGAGAGGGCTGTAGCGCACCTGCCGTCCCCCAGGTTGTAGCAGAAGTGGCCCTCCGTCTGGGCGAAGGAGGAAGGAGACATGGAGATACAAGGAGGGGCAGCCATAGGAAGAGAGGTAGGGCAGTAACACACCTGCCGTCCCCCAGGTTGTAGCAGAAGTGGCCCTCCGTCTGGGCGAAGGCGAGTAGCGGCAGGTCAATGGCTTGCACCAGCTGGCGGGAAAGGGCGCGGGGGGGGGGGGGGGGGGTGCACAGGGGGAAGGGGGCGGGGAAAAGGGCAAGGGGTCAGGAGGAAGGGGACAGGGCCACGAGGGTAGGGGGAAGGAAGAGCGTAGAGGTGATAAGTGAGCGGGCAAGCAGTGCTCACACAGAGGGAGCAGCCACGGTGCAGTGATGCATGGTTGCTCTCTCTGAGGATTCTCAAACGATTCCGAATCAACCTGCAAGTCGCAGTGCAAGGATGCAAGGCGCGCGTCCATCACTCTCTATACACCTCCCTACGCACATCTCAGAGCCTGCGCAGAGCAGCACGGAGGCAAGGGGGGGCGGCACTGGATGGAGGGGGGGCGGCACTGGATGGAGGGGGGGCGGCACTGGATGGAGGGGGGGCGGCACTGGATGGAGGGGGGGCGGCACTGGATGGAGGGGGGGCGGCACTGGATGGAGGGGGGGCGGCACTGGAAGGAGGGGGGGCGGCACTGGATGGAGGGGGGGCCCACTGGATGGAGGGAGGGGGGGGCACTGGAGGCAGGGGAGAGCGGCACTCACAGCAGCAGTGAGCGTCTGGTAGAGCGGGTCCGGCAGGTATGTGAGCGACGTGCCACTGTCCAACACGCACGGCACCATCCCTGCCGACGCCGAGCCTGCCGCTGCCGAGCCTGTGGCATTGCCTGGTGGCGCAGCAGGCGAGGAGGTGGTTTGGGCGGGAGCAGCAGCAGCGGCTTCAGCATCTCTGGCAGCAGCGGCGGCGGCAGGGACGGCAGTGGCGACGGTGGGTTGCCAGGCAATGGGCACACCGGCGATGGCAATGCCCGCCAGGCCGATCATATACTGCGTGCTGCCGTGACCGGGGGGAGAAGAAAAGGGAGAGGGAAAAAGGGAGCGGAAGGGAGAGAGAGTGACGCGGGCGCGGGGAGATGGACGGGTCAAGAACGGTTCGCAGGGACAGAGCGGGACAGGTTGCCGGGCAATTGGGAAGGCGATGGCAATACCTGCCAGGCCGATCATGCACTGCGTGCTGCCGTGCGTAGGCCGGGACGGCGGGGGGAGGGGAAAGGGGAGCAGAAGGGAGAGATGGAGGGGAGGTCATGGAGGAAATGGGCGAATTGTTATAAATTTCTCAACAATTGCTCATGACTGCCAGGGATGGAGTAGGGCGGCATGGTTGATGAGATGTCGTGGCGAGACAAAGAGAAGGGGAGGATTCGAGTCGCAGGCAGAGAGCGGGAGAGAGTGAGAGTGGGAGTGGGAGAGCAAGAGCGCCAGGCGCCCACTTTTCGGGTTTCTTCCGCAGCTCCGTCTGCTGCCACACGCCGCGCACGGTCCACACCCCCCACCTAGCCCCCTCACGTCCCCCCCACGCCCCCCACCCCTAGCGCGAGGAGCATACCTGTCGGGTTTGTCCCACAGCGCTGTTTGCTGCCACACTCCCCGCACGCCGCTCAGCGCGCCCGCGGAAGATACGCGCCCGAGAAACAGTGCGCCGCCGCCCTCCGGCCCGCCCAGGCAGTGCGCGAACGCGTGCGGCAGCGCGTGCTGCGCGCCGAGCTGCGCCAGCAGCGACGACGCGCCGCGGCCCAACCCCATCACGCCATCAACCGTCAGTGGGCCGTCTAAAAGATTGCCGGACTGGTTGAACCCGCACCCAAACGTCACGACCGGCCGGTACTTGGTTCCGCTCGCTGACGCGTTCGCACTGCTTCTCTGAGCTTCATCCCCGCTATTAACAGCCGCGCTACTTCCCTGCGCTTCATTCCCGTTACTAGCAGCCCCGCCGGCACCGCTCGCTTCTTCCTGATCCATCCTCCGCGGCTCCACGATGTTGAGCTCGCCCGGGTTACCACTCTCGCCACTCTCGCCAGGCACCGGGTTACCACTCGTCCTCGCCACCCCAGCCACTTCCCCCGCTCCCCCTCCCAAGGGCTCACTGGCGGTCGACGGTAGGTCCCCGCTTCTCCCATTCCCCCTGGGCCCACTTTCTCCAGTCCCACCCCCCCCGGGTCCCACGGGTTGCTCGCTGGGGGTCCACGGCAGGTGCAGCACGTCGCGCATGAGCACGCCCACGGACGCGCTGCCGTCCGCGTAGCGCAGCATGTACAGACACGTGGAGGCTGGCACGGCGGCCGCCGTCGCGACGGCCGGCGACGGGCAGCCGCGCAGGACGTTGTCGGAGAAGTGGTAGCGCGGACACTCTCGCGTCGCGCACGGGAGGAGGTGATTGGAGGAGGACTGCGACGCGTTGAACGGCGGGTTCAACGGCTGGCGAATGGGAGCGAGGCGACGATGTGGAAGTAGAGGGGGAGGAGGGAGGAGAGGAAGGGGGAGGGAGCGGTCGGTACGGATGAGGGGGAATGAGAGGGAAAATAAGGGGAGAGGGGAAATGCAAGGAAAAGCGCGTGTACGTGTGATTATAATGTTTACGAGTGATATGATTGCACGAGTGATTCGATTCTCGGGTAATGGCGTGTAGTGGCTTCTGAATGGCAAGCTGTTCAGCACTTACTTTCAAGAAGCACGATCAAGGCGCACGCTGTCGTGATTCGGCTCGAAATGGGATGCGGAGATGAGGGGGAATAGCGAGGCGTCGAGTTATGAGACGGAGACAGGGAAGGGGTTGACAGTGCTGCTTACGGGTTTCATTTTCTTTTCAAACGCAAACACTAAAACGAGCCCGTTTGCGACTCTCACCGCGACTTGCGAGCGCGTGGCGCATTTGAGGCACGGCTGGCACGCGACCCAGAGCAGGTCGCTGCCCGTGTCCACCTGCACGTTGAACAACTGCGGGGGGGAGCCCAACGCCACCGACGCGAAGTACAGCCTGGAAGAGAGGGGGAGAAGGGGGGGAGGAGGAATGTGGTGTCATTTAGTCGCTGCCCGTGCACGTTGAACGGCTGCGGCGGCGAGCCTAATGCCATCGACGCGAAGTACAGCCTGGGGCGAAAGGAGGAAGGCGAGGAGGGGGTGGGAGGAGGAGAAGGGAAGGATGGGAAAAAAACAGTCCTTTAGTCGCCTGTGAATTGGACCCACAGCAGGTGGCTGCCCGTGTCCACCTGCGCGCTGAACAGCTGCGGCGTCGAGCCTAAATCCATCGACGCAAAGCACAGGCTGAAAAGTTGAGGGGGATCAAAAGGGAGGGTTGGGAGGAGTCAGAATGCGACCCAGAGCAGAACCACGCTGCCATCAGACATTTTTTTTGTCGAACTAAACGGCGCGCTCACCCTGCTATCTGCGGGTCCGCGTTGCCGACGAGACCGAACACGACCTCCTCGTCGTCGTCGCCGCTCTGCAGCCGCCTGTTCCCGCGTCGCACGCGCCGCAAGTCGCGCTGCACGGCCGCCATGTGCGCCTCCCACCGCACGGTAACGAGCCCGCCGCGCGCCTTCCCATGATGTGCTCCAGATTTGAATTTGTGCGTCAGAGGAAAAGCTAAGGGCTGGAGATGCCTACTTTCGAGAGGCCCGGAAAGATGTTCAGGTATGTACAACCGGTTCCGACGATCCTGATTTTCAGAATTCGACGCGCCGATTTCCGCGTTATGTGGAATGTTTTTTGCGGAGAAAAGGGAGGAGCTATATTCTATGGCCGCTGCTGAAGTAGCGAGCAACGCGCATGCAAGGAGCGGTAGTACGTGAGCTGGCAAAGCCATGGAGAGATGCGAATTCGAGAATGGTTTGCCGCCATCAGCACTTGGTATCTGTCGCACTGCCCAATCTAAGTATTTGCATGGCGACCAGCGCGGCTTTCGGTCATGTAAGTGACAACCTCAACAACGACAAGCAACGACGGAAAAGCTATTGCGAGATTCGAGCTTATTCCGATGCGTTCTTCGAATATGACGCTGCCGGGCTTAGCAGCTCGTGACAGGATGACAGCTTTGGTGTGTGTCGTGGATTCTAAGAGAAAACCTGGGGTGACGGAGAAACCAAGGCGATCAATCAAGCAAGCCTAGCTTGTGTTGGGCGGGTGGTTTGGCATTTTGAGGTTTCATTTCGCTATGTGCAGCCTCGAATGCTTCGACGCGCGCCCTCATTATCCACATCCGTGCTCGCAATAGTCGTCGCAGGACGCCGAAAGTCGGCTACCGGGCCATGCGACACAGGGCGTATGTACTCGACTGCTTCAGTGAAGTTGGGTTGGTGCAATGAATGTCGTCAATGCGTCGGCCATCGTCGTGCGACGCACCAGTCCCTATCAGCTTATTCACGAAAAGGCTTGCAGCCGGTCATGCGGCGAAGCTTGACGACGGCACAAGCCGTGCGAAACTAAGGGTCGCACGATTGGTCATTGAGGAAGAACGCGACTCGTGGACCTTTGAACTCAGTTGAAGGTGTGTCACATTCCGTAGTGCTGGCGACTCGGACAAGGTCACATGTTTACTAGAAATAAAGGCTACATAAAAAAAAACTATGTCCCGTAACCATTACAGTACCCTTTCCAGAATTCATTTTCATAACCAGCATATATTTTCGAATTAACAAAATATGCCATGCCTGAAATGTGTGTCCCAAATCCCCCAATATTGCCTCATCCTTCCAAACGTTGGTGAACTAGGCCCACTTCAGAGATCTTGTGAATGTTTTACTCGCGGCTAGAATCTATGTCAGGATAGCATAGCGGACCTTGTACAGCAACTCCATGCCCACCAACATGTCGTAGTCCTCGGACTGTGACACTCCACATGCGAACCGGATCCGGCACTCCTTCTCCGTCCCCGGCTGCAGGACTATTTTCACTGGCTGCTTCGTCTTAGGCATCCACTTTGGGGCCCCTCCCTCATCTGTCATTACTAGGATCCCCCTCCCTATCTGTTTGTCTGGTAGATCTAGCTTCAGCTAGGTGGCCAATCCCTTTCCAAGGAGCACGTGGTGAGCACCTGTGTCGATAATAGCTTGAGCCACTGGCAGTCCTCCCACTGTTAGGCTCCCTTTCTCGGTAATGAGCACCGATGACTGACACACAAGGCGCTCGTTCGGATGCCTCCTCATATCGCTGTTCGGGTTCCCTTCTCTTCTCTACTTTTGCCGTTCCCGCCGGCTGGTAATGCTGGTCTCTTCCGATACTTCAGATCGGCCTCGTAGGTTGATCTCACTGCTCTCCCTCGAATGTGCCATGAGAGAGTACTCACGAACCAGCTCCGCTTCGCCTTCTTCCTCTATTGCCAGCATTGCGTGACTGCTCACGGGACCTTTAGGCATCCGATCCATCCGCATCTGCAACTTCCGCAGTTCTGCCTGCAGCTCTTCTCTGGACAGTCCCTCCATTGGATCTCTCTTCGCGTAACATTCCTCTACGCGGTAACCCTTTTTCCCGCATCAGTCACAGACAGGCGCTTTAGGGCAATCCCGTTTAAAACCGTAGTCCCAAACAGCCCAAAACTGCCTCAAACTTCCTTAACTTTGGTCGGGTGTGACTTAGTAGATATTGACTCGCTTCGAAAATCGTCGGGACAATTTTCGCCATGCTAAATAACTGTCCTAGCGGGGACGATAGCAGTAACGATTTCGCAAACAGATTTGAGGCCCATCCGAAACTATCTGCGAGCGAATTTTGATGTTGCATTCTATATCTGGTTACACTAGCGAGATTTTCATACTTTGCGACCCGCAACCACCGATTTCGACAACACCCTGGTTCGCGAGCCAGTCGTGTTTCTTGCCCCAACCAACCTTCCTAAGTTTGAGACTCTTGGACCTCGGGTTTTGAAGTGGCCTTGTTCTCCACACGTGTGGCAGCGCCGCGAGTCCGCCCTATCTCGCTGCATCCTCTTGTGCTCGGGTACTACCGTCGCTGCCCAGCTTGGTTTCGACCTTGGTCTGCGCTCGCTATCTTCCAAATCCAGCAGGCGCTGCGCATGCTCGGTACGCTTCGCCAACCCGTAAGCTTCCTTCAAGGTGATGTCCGCGCCTATCCCATACACCGGTGTTCGCACCACCGCTCTCAGATCGTCGTCTAGCCCTTTGACAAACTTCTGTACTAGCAGTCGCTCATCCTCCTTCTCCAAGTCTTTTGCTAACTCCTTGAGGCAGTTATAGTAGGCCACCAGCGACTCTTCTCGGCGCCTGCGGAACTCCTTGAATTCCTCCATCCCGCGCCTTCGTCTGTCCTGTCGAGAGTTGAACGGGTGAAGAATTGACTGAGGAAAGAGAAGGTACAACAAGATATAGCAAACCCTAACAAATAGTAGATGTTACACCTAAACTAACATAAACTAAACATATAAATTATATGTTGACACACCCCCATAGTCTAGGTGATGGTAGTCCTATGGAAAGCAACACATATCTCAGGGTGGGTCTCAAGGACACACACAGTCTGAGAGCAAGGGTCAAAGGACGAGTCAGCAAGAACAAGCAAGGGTCACAAGACCTGTCCACAAGAACAAGGCAAATCTCAGGGTGGAACTCAAAGTCACCACACACTCCGAGAGCAAGCAAAGGGCCAGAAAGGCCTGTCCATATGCTGGAATATAACAAATATAAAGAGATGCAAGAGTAGAAGACAAGCAGGACAAAGCATCTCTACGTAAGAAAGTGAGGACGGTCAGGCACAAGGCCAAGCTGGGTGCAGAAATGCTGGTGGCCACAAGGCGGCAACGCCTTGGTGAAGATATCTGCAGTACTGGCCTCAGAGACCACACGAATGACGCGAGCCTGGCCACGCTGCTGCAACTCACGCAGAAGGAAGTAACGAAGCTGGATGTGCTTCGCCTTCCCAACCAGTCGGGGCTCCTCACACAACAGGACAGCAGACCTGTTGTCGGCGAACAAGACAAGGGGAGAGCGAGGCCGCTCACCAAGGTCGGTGAGGAGGAAAGTCAGCCAGCAAAGCTCCTGGGCGGCCATGGCCGCAGCGTACACCTCTGCCTCACAGCTGGAACCAGAGACGGACGACGTACGAGTCGACCGCCACGAAACAACACCTGTCCCGAGGCTAAAGGAGTACCCCTGTGTAGACCGACGTGTCTCCGCGTCGTCGGCCCACGACGAGTCCGAGGAAACCTGTAAGTGTAACTGGCTGCTTCCCTCCAAGGACAAGTCCCATGCCTGATGTACTCGCCACATACTTCGCCACCCTCTTAGCAGCGTACCAGTGAGACGGACGGTGTCTCCTAGGCACAACAAAGCGCGCAATGACGCTAAGAGGGTAAGCTAGGTCTTGGCGAGTACAGGTCATCAGGTACAGGAGACAACCCACCAGCTCAGGATATGGACCACTGGACTCAAAGGACTCGTCCGAAGGTGGAGCCGTGAGCCCATGATCCACAGCAAGAAGGGTGAGCTGTACCTTGGAGAACGGGAAGCGAAACCGCGTGAGGATCTGCTCGACCATATGCGACTGAGTCAGCGTAATGGTGCGAGCTGCCCTGTCCCTGGTGATATGCAGGCCAAGGTAGTGCTGCAGCTCACCAAGGTCAGAGCAAGTGTGTCTCTTCTGCAGTTCCTCCTTCACAGAGACCAGCGCGCGTCGGTCGGGAGTGGCGAAGACCAGGTCGTTGGACAAAGAACGGGGTCGAGCCACGGCGGACGAACAGTGACGGGTCGGCAGACGACGGAAAGAAGTGAAGTGTGTCGTGCCACTCACGTGGAGACTGGCGCAGGCCGTAGACTGGTCCACGCATCTGCCACTGGGTCCCAGGTGGGAAAGAGCCAGTGAAGCCAGGCGGGCGACGCAGCCGGATCTGCTCGTGCAGGCTCCCCTGAAGGAACGCAGTCGAAAGTCCAAGGAGTGCAACTCGTAGTCGCGCTGGGCTGCAATATGCAGCAACACCCGAAGAGTGGTCATCTTCGCGGTGGGAGCGAAGGTTCTGGAAGAAGTCTACCCCCTCTCGCTGACTGAAGCCTCTCGCCACATAGCGCGCCTTGAACACTGGTGGTGATCCAGGCGGCCGCTTCACCTTGTAGAGCCATCGGCCACTTTTGACGTTTGTCCCAGGTGGTGGGACTGCGTCAACATAGTTGCATGTGGACCCATAAGATGCCATCTCTGCCTCCTCAGCTGCTATCCAGTACAAAGCCCAGGGCCCCGAGACCGCCTCGGTGTGAGTGCGAGGGATCGGGATGTCAAGAGTGCCTAAATCCCCCTCAGGGGCAAGCAGCAAGGTGCAGAGATGAGGAACATCGGCCGCCAGGAAACCAAGCTCGAACTGCCTGTCCTCGAGGACCTCCAGGGAAAAAAATAGGAGCACCCCCAGAGGACGGAGAACGAGAAGGGCCACTCACCAAGTGTGTTGGAATCATTGAACAGGAATGAATGAACTAGCAATGAAAAGAGTACAAGTACCTAACCCTAGAATTGTGTACCCCCTATAGGCTAACCCACTGTAGCCTAAACTAACACAAC